ATCGAGCATGTTGTGACATAGGATATTTTGGTCGATCAGGATTGGTGTGGTTTAGGTAGTTACCAGCACGTTAACCTTTTTGAATGTGGGTGAGTCTCGACTGCCGATGGTGATGTCGCAAGTCAGTTCGCCGAGGGCGGTGGTGCTGCCGTTGATTCCTTTTACTATGACGTCAGAGCGGGTCATGTGTTTCTTGGCTTCTCTGAGTAACTGAGATATTGGTAAGATGCAGGTGAAGCATTCAGAGTCTAGCATTGCGACGCCAAAGAAGGTGATGTCCCTGAAGTTGAAGGTGGACTGGACGAGCGGTGAATGGTGAGCGAGTCCTTGAAAGTTGAAGGTGTGATGGCTGACGTAGGGGCATGGCGAACGAAGCATCACATGTCGTCCTGCCCGAAGCGAAAATCCTGTTCCACATCATTTATGGCTTGTATATTGTCATTTGATGCGGCGATATGGGCCTGTGCCCGAGTGCGAGGTGGGTGGTGATATAGGCAGTTGCATCCATGGTGGCAGGGTCGACCTCTGAGGTAGTTCTTGCACATGCTGATTCGTGGTGTGTGCTGATGGTTTCTGCGTGTCGGATGGTGGCCATGTTCGGGAGGGTTGGTGAGGCCCATCTGCTGTGGGTTTGGTTACCTGCTGGGTTGAGTGGCGCGTTTCTTTGGTTTGACCGCTGTGGTTTCTGTGTGAAATACACAGTGTCATGCGGTTGTGTCGTTGGATTTTACAATCATGATCAAGGTATATTTGAGCTTCAGAGGCTATGCCAATGGCTGAATAGTGGTTGTCCATTGTCTTAATGAGATGTGGGTAAAGATTTGAGTTCCAAATTTTCACCTTTTTCGCCATTAGCATAGCACCGATGATGGAAATAAGTCCGTTGACTGTTAGGTCTGTATTTTTGTCTTTTTTTATTTGTTTTTATGTGGACGGCTGCCTCTCTAAGGGTGTTTTAATTCGACCATAAAAGTCTGTTAATTTTTGCCGTCTTGCCGTTCCAGATCCCAGGCTTGACTGAGGTGTTGGAAGTTAGTCATCTGGCTTCCGTGGGCTCCTAATAAGTATTCCTTCAGTTGTTCGAAGGTGGATGTGTCTTTTTTTGAGTCAACAATCTGCTGAAAGATACTTTGATCCAGTAAATCTTTAGCAGACTTGACGAATTTGCATTCTAGGCTGGGATAGGTGCTGAGTTCTGGCGTGACGTGGATTGTGTATGCTTTGTTTAGAGCCGTGATGAATCGGTTCACATCGTGTGCAGGGTGAAAAGTTCTCTCTAGCTCCAATATGTCGCGTATAGTTTGTTGGCGCATCATTAAGCTGTAATCGCCATTTGTTTGAGTGGTGGGAGGTGTTAAAGTCGTTGATTTTAGGGCAGTCAGCATGTCATTTATGTTGGCTTGAATTTCTTGTATCGTGGCTTCGGAAGGCTGTGTTGGTCCCGTTTTCAAGTTGAATAGTAGTGTTTTTGTTCCTTGATGAGAGTAAATAGTTCGGCTCGGGTGAAGCTCGTGTAGTCGGCCATATTTCTCTTGCTGTACGCTTCTGACACCAGTGTTATAGACAAGTGTATGGTTGCAAGAAAGATATATGACAACAGTAGAAATAGATTTACGTGATTTATTTCAACAGGAACGTGTGGGTTTGGGACAGCTATCTTGTGATAAAGTTCATAAGCTGGCTTTGAATCTGGGTTGATCTCTCATAGTAGTTCACACTGGTTGACGCTGGCGCTCCCCCTGCTGACTGCTGCTGACTGCTCAGCCTGACCGTGACAGGTCTCTTCCCTGGCTTCCTGTTGACTGCTGATTGTACTTCTGTGTGACCCCTTTTATGGTGTTTTTTTATGGCTTAACAGGCTCGAAAAACGATGCGAGTATAATTAGGAGGGAAGCATTTTTATTAGTCAAAAAATAGAAACACTTTAAAATATTATCTTTCGACCGAAACTCGTATGTTGGGAACATGCGTAAATGAAGATAATGGTCATTTTGTGACGGGGCCTTGTCCTGTTCACATCCGGCTCTCGCTCTTGAGTATATTAGTTTATTTGCCTGTAAATCAGCCGAGATATGTCTTATTTTATAACAATATATATGCATGATGATATTCGAAAGTGCATAAAAACTAAACCACAAGTTGCTCCAAGTCATGTGAGTGAAATTAAATAAAACAAATGACAGTTTGAATGTGATGTGTCTGCATATGGAAGAATTTGCTTTATCATTTTTGTCATTGTTGAATCACATTTGCAATACGAGGCTGGCCAATGTCATGCAGCAAAGTCAGCAGTTAACTACTTTCTTAGAAAAAGTTTTTTTCTCTTCCAATTAGTCATACATACTAGCCAATTGCTTGCTTACTGTAGGATTTTGTGCAGGTTTCAGTAATTTGCAAGAATTGACTTTGAATATCAACTTTTCACAGTAAGTTCCATTTAGGCTTAGATGCTGGAGTTTGTCCTTGTCAGGTTACCTCCTCCTAATTATCAAAACTGTTCTTAGGGGATACTCTCCCAACTATAAATACATCGTGATAATTTTTTTATCATTCTATTCTCACCTTATCTGCTTATTCATCAACATGTAACCTATCATGGAGAATGTGTTCCCTTTGGGAAATGCATGAACAATACATACACACATTCACTCACTTCACATATTTCGAACCCAAAAGGGTTTTCACATTCATTTGTTACACACACATTATTGTCTTTGTCACTTGTAAACCTTTGTTGTTAATACATTATAATTTGTTTGTACATATATATTGGTTCTCGTCATTGCTTTACATTTTTTTATATGAATTCATATCCCAAGTTTGCCATGTTTGTTGCGGGTATTCCAGGAGACAGCATGTTATTCCCATTTTTAAACATCAACCTTATTAATGCCTGCAAAAAGTTGGGAAGCATATTAACCAGATCACAACGTCCTGCATATATTCATGATTTTCTTCAGTTTGGATGCTTTTAATAAATTTTCATTGCTAGTAATTATCGTGCCCCAAAATTATATTTTTGTTTCAAGCAAGAAGGGAAAGACATTTTGAAATACTAATGTTACTTTTTTCTTTGCTATTGTTCATCTGATAGAAGACCCAAGTGCCACTCAAGGTAGTTGGTTACTGAATGAGATTGTTGTATGAACATAAAAGGTGTTAAAAAGTGAGGATATGCAGGAATAATAACAGTTGATCCTAGACTTGAAGAGGTTAAGAATGTAGCAATTGAGGAAGCATCCTCTTGGAAGTCTGTTCCACAAAGTAGTTGTTCTTTGAAAGGAGCTGTCTAAATGGAACTTCCTTTTACCAAAGGCATATGAATGGAATCGGGATGATTCGACCAATGTGTATGTGATATGTCTTAGCTGGGAAATTTCAACTGGGGGAACTAATGTATGTAGTTTGTCAGAACATTTGCCATAGAAATAGTAATAGAGCAGGGAGGGGCTTGTGACATTTCACCTGTGGGAAAGGGGTTGTAGGGCAGAAAATAATTCATCACCTACAAGGTCGTGTGGATGCTTTTGAACTTTGAAAAGGCTGGAAAGGGAGGATTGGGTAGCTCTGGCCCAGATATGGGAGCAGTACTGCATTTTTGGTCTAATCGTACTCTTGTAAAGACAGTGCATAACAGGAGTCAGGTGCTTTGTGGAATGGTATAAAGACCATTTTACCAGCATCATTAGTGATGGATCATACGAGTTCCACTTAAGATCTGGGGTGAATGTGTGTCCCAAAAGATATTCCATGCAAGGAGTTTCCTTGAGAGTACAACTGTACATCATTACAGGTGAAAATTCGTGGTCTGCTCAATGGTGGAATTCCTAAATTTTTTTCTGAAGTTTTGTAAACACTGTAATTCAGCTGAGATTCATGCCATGTCCTGTTTGTACAGTATTTACTACCAAAGGTTCTTCCAGTTCATCAATTTTCAAATTTTGAGATCTTCCAGAAAGTTCTTTCTTTGTGAGTTAAAAATTTTTAAAACTTTGCTAATAAATGTGAAGTGGTATGTATAGTAAATGAAGATGTATCTATATTATCAAAAATAATAGGTTTTACGAAAATATTTATTCCATAAAATAGGAATAAAATAAAAGCCTAGCTGTGAATAAAATACATGCTTTTGTTAAAGGAGCCAGAATCCAGTAGCCTAAATTTCTGAACAAAGAAAAATATTTAGTGGCAGACTTGAGAAGGGCTTTTTCCCTGTTTGGGTCTGTGACATTATGCATTGGTAAAGAGTTAAAGAAGAGAGTTTCTTTTTGAAAGCATGAGTTTATAAAAGATAGTTGTTTGTTACTAATGCTACTATATATTTTTTTTTACAGCCAATCATCTGTATCATGGCCTAAACTCACTACAAATGTTTGTACCTACTACATCATCATAAACTTCGGTATTCCGTATTTTAGTTTTTAAAGCACTTTTTGTGTAGTTTTACCAAAATAAAGTAAAATTATAAGTTTTTATTTTTTTACAAACAATCTTTAAAGCATGCTTGCACAAGCAGTAAGTGTTGAATCAACTTTAAAGATGCATTAAAATTTTCATAACATTGCACAAAATATGTTTTACATTAACCTCATAATTTTAACATGATTTTTTTATGGTTCATTGTTAAGAGGTTACAAGAATACTATACAAAGCACCACATTATAAAGAGTTGCTTAACATAAAATAGAAATATGTTGCAAGAAAATGAAATTATCAGCAGTAGCAGACCATTGCAAATAAATGTAAGAAAAAGTTCAAAACGGCAAAAAGACAAGCATTAGGCATAAAAGCAGAATGAATTTCATTATTGTTTATTGAGAACAAAAAAATTGCAATAAACATGGTCAATCAATTAATTTTTTATATTCAAAATCTTTCAGGCTTCTAAGTTCAATGTTTTTATAATAGTACTTTTCTATAGTTTGACAATTAAATTGTAAAGTTAGTTCCAAAAAAGCTATTTTTGTAAAATACTCAACCTCAATTTCTTGTGAACTTACTTGGTCTTCTCCTGTTATTGTGATCACAACTTGATTGCTTGAAAATAATTTTGTTGAATAAGCCACTTGAACAGCAGTTTCCTGAAATAGACAATTTAAACGTTTTATCTAAAAAAAAGAAAAAAAAAAAAAAAGATTAATACTAGAAACTATAATATAAGCCTTGAATAGCAGGCATCATCAATTGATGTTCCCTTAGAGATCAGTGGATGATTGATGTTTTAATTTTTTTATTGATATGGGCATCATTTATTCATGATTTAAGTGTAAATAATTGGTAACTTTACAATTCATAAGATCACATCATTTCCTTGAGTATTTGTCAGCAAATAAAACTGGAAGAACAAAAGTCAGTGTTATGTCTGCATGCATAGTTCTTGAAATAAAAGAAGAAAAAAACAGTGACAACTTTGGTGCAAAGAATACACAAATCCATTATGCATAGATTGCTCCAAGGACTATCATAGGGTTAAAATATTAAATTTAGGAAAGTGACATTGGTTTTATTTCCCTTTTTTGTTATTTTTATAATCTAAGTGTTAAAATATCAGTTTTATAGTTTTTGTATATAATTAAAACAAAAGCAAGCATAAAACTACCTTTAAAGAATTGATTTTCTCATTTCAATTTGGTATGCATATTCATGCACCTTTTCCCACCATTTAAGAGTTAAAACTTGCAATATTTAGGCTAAAGATGCACTTAATTTCTCAAGAAAGTGAATGGAGTGTCACCTTATAATTGCTACAAACATTGTATATATAAAAAGTTTTTTAAAAAGATCTATATTACTGATAAGTACAATAGAGATGTTTTTCAAGAAATCAGTTTTATAAAATGTGAATTTTTATAAACTGCACAAATAAGTAAGATAAGCTCATTACAGATTGTAAAAGAAAATATTTATCCAAAATAAATTATTAGTATTCTGGAATATAATGTGTATGTGTGTGCATGAGGGGGTGGGGGGGGGAGCACACCTTCTTTACCAGGGGTCTTCTAATACTTGTTAAGTGGTATTATATAAAGCAGTATAATAGAAATGGATACAAACACTATCCTCTTCTGCTGTAGTGACAACACATGTCTATTTTCCCGTCTAGGGAGACTTTATATTCCCCAGTGTTACATACAACACAATACTATCACTAGACTATTTTCTCATATATCTCCATTATAACCTATCACATTTCACACAAGAAAATATCCCTCTTCAACAAATTGTCAATGTTGCTGCAAACAGGTAACCTAATGCTGTAACATGTGTGAGAAAGGAAATATAGTTAAAGATTTTACTAATTTCAAAGAATACAAGAATTTGTAAAAAAACTGTTTTCTTTATAATGGCGGAATTATTTTAAATGTTGATTTTTATAAAATATTGATTAATTTATTTTATGGTAGGTGGTGGAGGTTATCTTATGACAACATCCAATCTCATCATATATCTATGTGGACTTGTGTAAGGATTGAAAGAAAATGTGCAGTGTGTTAATATATACAAACTTTTTTTTATATATATATATATATAACACAATTTATATATACAGCAGGATCATGTGATAAGTTGGAGATTCAAGGGTTCAAATGTAAAAGTCCTGGTGCATATGAGAGAAAGACAGAGAGAATTTGGGAGAATGTGTGTGTGTATATATATATATATATATATTCAAATGTAGTAGCAGTCCTCTTGCTTAAAATGTAAGTGAAGGAAGTATGTAAGCTTTAGTGTCAATGCAGGACTGTGGATATCTAAGGTCACCAGTGGGTGATAGAAGGAGGCAGGTATTGTATTGGTCTATGCAAGATGTGTGGGTCACACATGTGTTGTAATTTGGTTCTAACAACAGAATTGATAAAATTAATTCATGTATTTTGATTTAGGCTGAATTTCCATCTCTTTATATATAGAGATCTGCTTCAATACTGCAGCTTGGCTTCTGATTGGCCCACAATCAGTAACCTTATATCCGGGTTTGGAACAGGTCTCGTTTCTGATTCTCTCACTAGACTATGAAGTTCTTATGACTTTATGGCCTAGCAATTCTGAATATACATCTATTTTTGGAGATGATGAAATTTTGGTCTCCTTGTTATTTTTATATTACTACAAATTTTAATGCATTTCTAATAGAAATAAGCTGTTTTTTTAAGAGATGATATTTTAATGAATGTTTATTTTGAGTGAGATTATTTATAATGGCCAACATAAATGCTTGTCAAATAACACAATGAATATATCACTTTACTCACCTAACTTGTACTCTTGTTTCATGAATCTAAATGAAAATTTTAACAAACCCTTAAAATATTCCTTGTTATTTATGTAAAGAAAAAAAAAGAAAAGGTGTGTGTACTTGACAATATCATTGCTAATACTTTGTTCTGCTAGTTGCAGCAGACAAGATCAAACTCTCAGATCCTTTCGGTGATTAAGGATGTAAGATTCATCAAATCAATAAAGCTTCAATAAAAATTTAAAGTCATATTTCAGTTTTGTTAACATCCATTCCATTTAGGCTAAAAAAAGCTTATACAAGTTTTTTGTTTAGTAAATATTCAACAATTAAACATTATAATAATTGTTAATTTTTGACTAGTATTTACTTTCATCTTAATTTTTTGTTACTTTTATCACAAATTTATTGATGCTCTTAATCTACAAAAGTGAGTAGATAGCATAGGATAACAAATAAAAGACAAATTTTCAGTAAGATTTGAACTTGTATCCATTCTACTTCAATGAAACTTGGTAAATACTCAACTGCTTTACTTTGCAGAAGATAGATTGACATTATATTTTCATATATATTACATTGAAACATACATATACATTAATTTAACAAGGAATTTTAATGCAATTTATTGAGAACTGTGACCAACAAAAAATGTTTTTTACTTAGGAGATCATGTCTCAAATGCATTTCCATTTTTGTTTTCTACTGACAAAACTCAATTTTGGAAAACTGGGGTTACTGACTATAAAAGCAAATTCACCAAAGGTATTACAATGAAAACAGTAACACCCACCTCCTTATCACCAGTTAATACCCAAACTTTGATTCCTGCTTTTCGAAGACTATCAATTGTCTCTGGAACTCCATCTTGTAATGTATCTTCAATTCCAGTAGCACCTGAAATGGAAATTGAAAATTTAACAGTAAAAAAAAAAAAAAAAATTGCCTAAATTTTGTTTTTTTACAATTTATACATTTTGATTTGATAGATTTTCAAGTTTTATTCTTCAGAAAGAAGTTTATATATATATATATATATATATATATATATATATATATATATAGGGGAAAAATGTATGGCAGAAAGTGGAAAAGTTTCAGGGCTTCATCGAACTAAATTTGTTATGTTGGTGCAATTACACATGCGCACAAACTGGGGATGCTGGTATTTTTAAATTTAAACTTCCCAGCATCTCTGTTTTGTGTGCATGTGTAGTTGCACCAACATAACAAATTTAGTCCGATGAAACCCTAAAGTATAAAATATGTCACAAGAAAACTTTTTCCACATTGTTATATATTTTTGCCATAATATTGTTCCTGATATATAAAAATATATATTGTTATCTCACATATATATATATCTCAAAAATCAATTGTTGCTATCTCCTGACTAGTGGATGGAGTGATCTCTGGAGTGCCAGTCTATGAAACACTACAATCGGGATGCTGAAAGTAACACCAATCAGCGAAGTTACAAACTATATTTGTATTAATTCTATAAGTAATAATAAGTCAAAGTGGTACATTCAATAATAAACTGTTTATTCTGACATCCAGTGTAAAATATATATAGTTGTTCCTTGTAATGACAGAGGGCTTACTTGACCCAATGATCCCAAGAGGGAAGCCATCTGGCTCTACAGGAATTGGAAGGTCAAAGTGGAAGGACCAGACTGAATGCGACCAATCCCCAAAGGCAGGATAACAAAGATCTACACGACCTCAATGACCAAACTAGCAGAAGAGTGCAGTACCACTTGACCTGGCATAACCAAGGTGGCCTTGACAGACAAAGCATCTGACAGCCTGGTGCAACCAGATTTGTCAGATCTCACTTGTCTCCATCCCTTTTCAGTTGCAAGGGAGGAGGCACTTCTGGTCAAGTGTGCGGGATTCTCTGTTGTGTAGAGTTGTCCACCAAAATTAAATTTATGCACATGACCTCATCAAACCCTCTGATTCACAGCCATCTCCACCACCACAGGGAGGATGAAAGGGAATAGGGAGAGAGAATGATGATCCCAATGCTTGGATGTAAATTGGTACCAACCAGTATATATATATATATATATATATATATAAATAAATAATTGGGGTCAGATACAGATCAAATATGGATTGGAATCCAACAGAATATGATAAAGAACAAATAGGATAAGAACAAATGATAAGTAAATTAACGATTAAAGAATGAGATAAGAAGAAAGAAAGAAATTCTTTCTTTCAAAAATAGAAATACCAGAATTTCTTTTTCTTCATGTTTCATTCCCAAATGAAGCTTTAATAAAAGGGAAACATGTTAGATTTATAAACATTTTCTATTTGTTCTTTATCCTCTTATATAGTGTAAAGACAAATCATTTAGCACTTCCACTTTTCTCAGAAGTTTCCATCTTTCTCCACGTTCTCTGCATTTTCCTTTTCTTTTTTAAATTTCACTTTATTTCTTCTACATTTTTTCCTATCACTTCTTAAAGTAGCCATTTTTTTTTAAGTAGTTTTGAATTCAAAGCTAATTAGAAACTTCTTTCAAAACATTCAGCCTATTATGATTTTGTTAAAATGTATATGTCATACTTTATATCACAAAGTTATTTCACTCTTACTTCAAGCCAAGTCAAGCCAATTCTTTTTATGTGATATATAAATACAAAGTTTGGAATTAAAAAAATAATAAAAACAGTTGACCTAAATATATCTGAATTGTTTGCTGGTATCATAAGTGAAGACAATGATGTTTTTTCTCTCTTGTATTAAATTATATATCAATATAATTTACTCACCTAAAAGTTCAAAATCTTTCTCAATACGATTAGCGGATTCCAATAACAATTGGTCCCTGTCTTCAAGTGCTGATTCTGCAAATGTATGTTTTCTAACCCAATTTTCATATTCCTCAGGACTAATAACCTGCAATAAATAAAATTTTTGTTGAGGTATAAACATCATTCCCAAAGTTATGAAATTATACAATTCTAATGTTAGAATTTGAGATAAGTGAAGAAAGATGATTCAGTAGATTCCAAAGATTATACTTACAATATTTTGATTATGGAATATAGAGAAAAATAAAGCAAATTGTCACAAATTCCCAGAGCTGCATGTCCAAATAGTCTCACATCCACATTTCCCACAATTGGCTTTCTTCTCCCACCTTATTCACTGCCACTGATATTGTATGTATTTGAAGACAGGTATACTAATCCATAGCAGCATATTTGGGTTATTCTATCAATCTTGTAGGCAGCACATCTAGGCTATTAACCATTTTTTGTTATGAATAATGGAATAAATCAGCCCCAGTTTTTCTTTGTGTCATAGAGCCAATGGCATCAACAGGTGCATTTGACCTCAGCCCTTTTGAAGGTAAGTGTTTTTTTTCTGCACACTGCATTTCTGGATTTTTATACATAAATAAAAATTATATATAAAAAAAATCTTTTCCTTTCACACTAAATTTCTCTCTTTTTCATTTTATTTTCCCATCCCCCACCATCATCAGCCTACACAGTGTCTTGCTGACAACTGGGGTTCACAACTTCATGGTGTCTGTGCCATACCCAAGCCCTACCATTAGCCTGAAAGAACAGGAACTGTGACTTATTGGACCATACAACATAGGCTTATGACGTTGCTAATAAGAACTATTTGAGGTGCTGACTGATGTCATAGTCTTCTGTTCTCCTACTCTATGGAAGCTAAATGACACTGAACTGACCTGTTGGCTATGTGTCTGGTACTTCCTGCATCAAATGTGGATATAATCTGAACCAGTGTTACTGCAGACAATTCTTACCAGACCCATTTGGTCACAATCATTAAGAGCCCATGGTCAACTTTTGCACTGTCCATAGTGTATTATAATACTTTCCATAAACTATTTTTGGTACACATGTGCCACCATAGATTGAACAATGTCAAATGTTCTCACAATCTCAGAAACAGAATGTCCTTGTTTAAACTTATATAATTTATGTTGGCTTGCAATGCGCAGCCTAACAAAGGTTCACACTGACTCACCAGATGTCAGAGAACAACATTTCTATTACATCCCCATACAATGACACAACCTTCCATTACATTTACTGCTATCCTATTGCTTTTGACATGTCAGTGTAGAGCAAAGTTAAAACATTTAAGACTTTATTTAAATTATTCAAATAAAAAATAGCTAGTTTCTGATAATGTTTCAAATATCCCTGAAATTCTAGTGAAATATTTCAATATTTTTTCCATTTAGTGTTTAACACATGTTGAATATATACGATTTATATAAGGTAATAAATTGTATGAGCAAGATTTTATATATAAATGAAATACAGATTTATCAGTCATAGTGTTTAACTAATGAAAAAATAGGTTCAAGGCTACAAGTTGTTTCTTAATTAACAGTGTTATTAATGTTATCTGGTAACTTTAATGAGCAATAATGAAAACTCATAGACTTAGTAAAAATAATGTGTCTATATCCTATTTTTTGTGAAGATGAAAAATATTTAAATTTTCCTGATATTATTTGCAATGACATAAAAAGTATGGGGCCTTGCAATGCAAGAAAATTTGTCTTTAATGTTGATTCTGGAAATAACTTAAATTGTGATCAGTAGTTTAATTAATTTAAGGCACTGGGATAATTTTTTCTGTTTCTTCCTATGAATGATATTGATTCTTATGCCCAAATAAAAGCATACAAAGGCATGAACAAAACAGTCAATATAAGTTTCTCTATGATCATTATTTACATTATTTATATTCAAGCTAATGTCTTCACCTTTGTTGGGATAGTGAAAGAAGTCTTACAAAGTTAAGCAAAGTATTAAGAAACAGGAAAATTTCATTAGAAACAAAGAGTACTGAACTGTTATGTAACATCAGTCCTCTTATATGACAGTGAATACTGGACACTCTTTTCACAGATGAATAGGAGACTTGAGGCAATATGAAGATGCTGAGAACACCATAGACTTAACATGTGAGCAACAAGAAATTGGAAGCTAAAAGGACACTTATACTTAAAATCTGAAAGATATAGCTGATAGGGTATATAATGAGGAAAGAGGGCTTGGGAAATTTGACACTCACAGAAAGAAAAAGAGGAAAGCAGTACATAACCTAATGAACTTGTGTAAATGGATGGCAGAACAGGGTTTAGGAGAGATGGCAAAAAGTCTAAATTTACTAAGAGCTATAAAGGACAGGAAATTATGGAGAGCCATGATTGCCAATATCCTGAAGAAGAATAATATTCAAAATTTAATAATTAAATTTTAGGGACAGATTATATCAAAAGAGTAGGCGCTAGGAAATAGTTGAGAAAAATTAAAATCTAAAATAAGTTTTAAAAATTTGTATATATAATAGAAAACAGATCATGAGGTATGAAAAGAGAATTTTCAACCAATTGCTGTTGGCTTGCATAAATTAAGAAACCTTCAGGATTGTATCTCCTGAAAACAGAGATATGAGACTTTATAACAAGTTATAATCTGTCAAATTATGTCAAGTGATTCTTTTTACTTAGAGAGAGAACCAAACAGACTACAAATCTAAAGACTTACCAACAACTAAAACTATATACCAGTTTCTTTAAGTCAATCTGCTTCTACTTTTTTTTCAGGGATAAATTGTGAATAATGAGATTTATGAGGTCGGTTGAAAAGTTCATAGGCTGACCAAAATACTCTTATGGAATGTAACTATATGAGGTTTATTTTTTAACATAGACCCCCACCCCCTCACTTGCTGCCCACACACTTTTTCCATCAGTGTTGCAGTGCAGATAATAGTCATATGGAGCCAAATCAGGAGAATAAAGAGAGTGAACAATTAGTTCAGAGTTACAGTCACATACAGCAGCCATTGAAACCAAGGATTTGTGTGTTGGAGCATTGTCTGGGTGACATAAGACCCCTTTCATCAGTTTTCTTGGGCGTTTTTTCTTGACAGCCTTTTGTAATTGCCTCAGCAAGTTGACATAGTACTCTCCATTGATGGTGCGACCATTTTGAAGACAAATAAACACAATGCCTTTTTGGGATGCAAAAGACATTGTGTTTATTTGTCTTCAAATAACTGCAGATGAAATGACCTTGGCTTTCTTTGGAGCAGGTGGGGAGGGGTGTTTCCACTGCATGGATTGTATCTTTGTCTCTAGTTCAAAGTGATGAACCCAAACCCATCTTGGGTCAGGAAATATTTAAGGAAGCCAGCTGGATCTGCCTCAAATAATGTCAGATTATCCCATGATGTGTTCATTATTGCAATTTTGATCAGGTGTCAGAAGATGTGGCAACCACTGAGTATAAACTGCCATCATGCCAAGTCCATTGTGCAGAATAGTTGATTGATTGATTCGTCTTACTGCACATCAAACCAGGTGGATCATTTAATGCCGAAGAAGGTTTTCAGGTGAATAATTAAAGTTATTTTCTTTTGGGAGCAGGGGATTATAGAGGAGAAAATTTCTTTGAGATTTTTGGGGAGGCATGGAGAATTGTATAAAATTGGTAAGCAGGTTTGATAAAGAGTTGGTGGGCTATTCATGTCTAAGAGTTGGATCATTGTACAATTTTTTCAGATTGCAGAAATGGGTACACTTTATTTTGGTTGGGTTTAATTTATTTACGCACAGTTGAAGTTGTTATTCTACAGTGTGCATATTTTTGGAGCTGTAGCAGATCAAATGGTCATCTACATACAATGAACCATAAACTCCTTGATTTAAGTAATTAACAAAGTTGTTAATGTTTATGTTGAAAAGAGTGACAGACAGAATGCAACCTTGTGCGACTCCTCCTTCTTGGAATTTCAGGTCCAAGAGAGTTGAACCTACCTGAACTTTGAAACTTCTATCTGACAAAAAGTTATCAAATTGTGCAATCTGCCCTTTAATCCTAGATTGTATAGGTCTTTCGTTATTCCATGTCTCCATGTTGTTACATAGGCTTTTTCTAGATCAAAGAAAATGGCTATTGTGTGTTCTTTTTTAATAAAAGTCTCTCTAATGAATGTTTCTAGGTGGACTATGTTTTGGAGTCCACTCTGGAGATTGGTAATTAAACCATTAGTTTCATCTTTTATTCACTATTCTTTTGAGGGTTTTGCATATGCAACTTGTTAAAGTTATGGGTTGGAAGTTTTCCCGATAGTTTAAGGATTTTGGTGGGAGTTGTTCAAAAAATTTGTAATGAATTTCATCTGGGCCAGCAGCTGTACTGAGATTCACTTATGGAATCTATAAGTTGATTTATGGTAAAAGTTTTGGTTGTAATCTTCTTTGTTGTTTCAGTTCAGCTTATTTTTTTTTCCTGCATTTTTTAAAACTTTTTGGAATTGCTGTTTGTAATTTTTTTCTGGAAGAATTTTGTTTGAAGATTTCTATGAGTAAAATTGCTATATCCTCTTTGCTTGTTATTTTTATGTTATTTTGAGAAAGGTGATTTAGAGGAGGTAACAGATTTTTGCCAGCGATTTTCCTTATCGTATTCCAGAATTTTCATTTGGTATGAGAGTTTATTTTATTTATGTAATCTCTCCATGATTTTCTTTTAGCTTCTTTGATGGTTCTGTGTGCTTTTAGTCTATTTAATTTGAATAGATTTAAATTATGGTTTGTCAGTTGGGTATTAAATTTTTGTAGTGCTGCTCTACATAATCTTATTGCTATTTTGCAATCTTTGTTGAACCACAGTTTTTGATGTTTATTTGATTTAGTGCTTTTTGGTATACATTTTCTTGCAATTGCTATTAATGTTCTACAGAAATATTCAAATGATTTTTTGCCATCTTTATCTGTTAGTTTTTGACAGCAGTGATTTTTGTATTCCCTCCAGTCTGCTTTAATTAATTTCCATTGAGGGAGATTGTTTTCAGTTGGTTCTGAAATCTTTAGTATAATTAGGTAGTGATCA